CTCTCACTGCAACAGCACTTGTTTTCCGTTTCTACCTTGGACCACGGGGGAAGGGGCAGCTGAAGGAAAGGGCTGTGTCAGGATGCTTCCTTCTTCCCTTTCTTCTCCCTCTTTTTTCTGAACACTTCCATGCCTTGTAGTTCTTTTGCTTTCTCTTCTTTTTCTCTCTGCTACCCTATATCTCCCCCATCTCTCTCTCTGGCCCTGTCCCAGCCTACCTTTCTCTCTGTCCCTTCTTTCCTTTCCCTCACTTCTTCCTTGGCCTTCCCTCTTGATCCCCGCCTGGCTCATCTCCCTGCCCCAATATCCTGTGCCATCCCTGTGGTGTGTTCTGGTCTTGGCCACAGCCAGACCTGGCAGAAGTGATGGATACCTCTTGAGGCAGCGGAGCCCCTGGGCTCCCACCCCATTCCCTCCTCCCGGGGCTGCACAGGTGAGTAGGTAGAAGGTAAGGGGGCAGGGAGGGAAAGGAGGTCCTGGGCTTCAAGCCTGGGCTGAGAGAGCTGCTCTACGGCACTCGGGGTCAGGCAGAGAAGAGAGTCAGCCTGCAGGGAGTCATTCTGGGCGCCCCGGGTGGGGAGTGGGGCCATGCTTCTTGGAGCTCAGAGGCTGGGAGGAGAGGGGAGGAGGAAAATGGGATGGGCTGCCCCTCGGGCGTTGGTGTATTTGCTCCTAGAGCAGCCCAGGAGGCACGGTGGTTCTGAAGCGTCACTGACTTCTGTCCCGTTCTTGACAGCGCCATTCGCGAACGATTTCCTAAATTACTACGTTTGGTAAGTTTATAACTTTTTTAATGCTTTTGTAACAAGCATAGTACCTCTCACCAATGTCTTGGCCTAACGTGATGGTATGACCATTAACTTGGGGACATGCAGCCCTTTGAAAACCCAACAAAAGTACTAGTATAATCCTCCTTCCTGGGAAAATGCTTCTTGACAAAATGGCATCTGTCAGGATTCCATGTCTCTTACACTTGACCTCTGTCCCCTTACTCTTAGTTTTTCCACTTTATTATTCACCCAGCCTTTTTTCTCCATTTCACACTCCCACCTCACTCTGCAGGACGGCCATGAGTTACCCCCGCCAATTGCCTTTGACGTTGAAGCCCCCACGATGTTGCCACCCTGCAAGGTGAGACGAGGGGACAGAGCTGGGACTTGTGTAGGGAGGACAGGATCAGTGACGCAGTCCTAACACCTGTTTGATCCCAGGGGAGCTATTTTGGAACGGAGACCCTGAAGACTCTGGTCCTGCACTTCTTGCAGCAGTAAGTCCCCGGGCCCCGGGTTTGGGGAGAGGTGGACTGGCCTCAGCCCAGCTCGCTCTTGAGAGCTGTTGGGTCCCTTTACGAAGCACAGACCTGCCCTTTTGTCCTCCCCACAGGTACTATGCCATTTATGACTCTGGAAACCGGCAGCGGCTCCTGGACGCCTACCATGATGGAGCCTGCTGCTCCCTGAGCATCCCTTTCACCCCCCAGAACCCTGCCCGGTAAGAGTCACATCTTGGAACCTGCCCCGGACCAGGTTTCTCGATAGATCTCGGCCGGCACCTACTGCCGCCCACACTGCCTGACCGCCACCTCCTTTTCCTCTGATTCCCAGAAGCAACTTGGGCGAGTACTTCAAGGACAGCAGGAATGTGAAGAAGCTGAAAGACCCGAGTAAGTGTGTGAAGTGAGCAAAGCAGGATGGGAGAAGGGAATGGGAAGGAGTCGGGGGCTGTGCAGTGCATGGCAGCCCCTGACCGTGGCCTCTCCTCCCCCACAGCCCTGCGGTTCCGGCTGCTGAAGCACACACGGCTCAACGTGGTGGCCTTCCTCAACGAGTTGCCCAAGACTCAGCACGACATCAATTCCTTTGTGGTCGACATCAGTGCCCAAACGGTGAGCAGGTTTCCTCCCTGACAGCCTGGAATTGGGGAAGGGGCTGTGCAGAGCCTGCATGGTAACTGCTGCTTCTCTTTCAGAACACGTTGCTGTGTTTTTCTGTCAATGGCGTCTTCAAGGAAGGTGAGCATCTTGGGAGTCCTGTCTTCGGAGCAGTCCTTTCCCCAGCTAGTCTTCTCAGTCTCAGCTCCCCAGCTGTCTTCTCTTCCCTCCTCTTCCCTGACCTTCTCCTGTTGTGCCCCCAAGCCATCTTCATTGGGCCTCTCCTCTTGCCTATCTTTTCTGCCTGGGATGTGGGGAAAGCCTGAGGAATAGGAGGACACAGGCAGGTCTGAGCTTCTGTCCCAGCCTTGGTGCCATGTGTGAGCAATTTACATTCCTACTGAGCCTCAGATTCCTTCTTTGCAAAGGGGGTTAGTAACAGCCATCTCCTGGGGTGCTGTGGAGTGACCGAGAGTGACACAGGCTTGTCACACACAGACTGAGTGGCCAACAGTGGCTATTACTGTCCTTTCTGGCCTCACGCTCCCCAGCTCTGCACAAACGTCATTCCCTTCTGGCCCCTGGGGGTTCTGTGTATCAAATGCAACAATGTTTTGAGAAGCTGTTTGTAAACGAAGTGTGAGCGCCTCTCAGGCCATTGTTGTTGTTGCAGTGGATGGAAAGTCCCGGGATTCTTTGCGAGCCTTTACACGGACGTTCGTCGCTGTTCCAGCCAGCAATTCAGGGTAAGTGTTGGGCTTATCAGATGGGCTTCTAGTCCCAGTGCTGTGGGACTTGGAGGGGCAGGGGTAGAGTCAGTCCTCCGGGTATTTTCAGAATTTCAGGAAGGCAAGGAGGAATCAGAGTAGGAGGCGAAGAGCTTGCTCTGGAGTTGGACTGACTGGGCTTTTCAGCCTGCTCTCCCACTTCGCTATGGGCCAGTTTCCTCATCTGAAGACTGGTGAAACTATTCACTTCCTGAATCTGTTGTGAAGGCAGGTGGGAGGCAAGAGCTGTCTGTGGTTCGGGCAGAATGTACAGTTCTGCGTTTGGCACATGATTGCATCTGTGGGGCCCATGTCAGTAAAACGATAAAAGGTAATAGCTGAGAATAAGGTAATAATAGCTAAGAGTGAGGAGGCCTTTTTAGCGAGAATTTTAGCGAGAATAGGAATGATGTTGGGAGGATGAGGTTACCTGTGTGTGTTCAACTATCTAAGGCGCTTTTTGTCCCCAAGACTGTGCATTGTAAACGACGAGTTGTTTGTGCGGAATGCCAGCCCTGATGAGATCCAGAGAGCTTTCGCCATGCCTGCGCCCACGCCCTCCTCCAGCCCGGTGCCCACCCTGTCCCCAGAGCAGCAGGAAATGCTGCAGGCGTTCTCTACGCAGTCTGGCATGAACCTCGAGTGGTCCCAGAAGTGAGTGCTGGGCATGTGTACAAAGAGGGGCAAACTGAGGTAGAGCTCGTGGTGACTAAGGAGTGCTCCTGAAATTTTAAAAGTCAAATTATTTTTATTGCTTTAAAAAAAAATAAGAGCCCTGGCTGGTGTGGATCAGTTGGTTGAGCTTTGTCCCATGTACCAAGAGGTCGCTGGTTCAGTTCCCATCAGGGCACATGCCCAGGTTGCAGGTTCAATCCCCAGTAGGGGCATGCAGGAAACAGCCTGTGGATGTTGCTCTTTCAGTAATTAATGTCTGTGTCTGTCTCTCTCTCTCTCCCCCCTCTCTTTCCCCCTCCCTTTCTCCCTTCCCCCCCTTTTCCTTCCCCTCTCTCTCTCAAATCAATAAAAACATATTTTTAAAAATTTTTTGTAGCCGAAACCGGTTTGGCTCAGTGGATAGAGCGTCGGCCTGCGGACTGAAAGGTCCCAGGTTCGATTCCGGTCAAGGGCATGTACCTGGATTGCGGGCAGCTAATCGATGTTTCTCTCTCATCGATGTTTCTAACTCTCTATCTCTCTCCCTTCCTCTCTGTAAAAAATCAATAAAATATATTTACAAAAAAATTTTTTTTGTAATGGTCTATGAAAAAGTTTCCCACAAGTTTATAAATTAGCATAACAAAATTTAAAGCCAGAATGAAGTCCCTTTATATGTACTGTTGTGCAACTTTTTTTCCTTATTCCGTGAACATCTTCCACTATCAGTATAAAAGCCACCTTAGTCTTTTTGTTTTTAATTTCAGAGCGAGGATGTAAGAGAGAGAGAGAGAGAGAGAGAGAGAGAGAGAGAGAGAGAGAGAGAGAGAGAAAGAGAAAGAGAAAGAAAGATCAGTGTGAGAGAGAAATATGGATCGGTTGTCTCCTGCCCATGCCCTCGACCAGGAATTGAACCAGCCACCCTTCAGTGTGTGGGATGATGCTCCACCCAGCCAGGCCACACTCGCCAGGGGGTAGTCTTGATAGCTGTTTCATATGTATTCTTTTGTGTTCCATAGACCACCGATACACATTTGGATTACTCTTCATTTGTATTAATTGTGCAAGAATGTATATAATTGTTGGGAACTTGGGCAAGTGTTTGTATAGAATGGATTTCGAAGTGGCATTTAGTGATGAGGGTGACTGCATTTTGGTTTTAATGGAGGTGGCCTTCCTTTCTCACTCCAGGTGCCTGCAGGACAACAACTGGGACTACACCAGATCTGCCCAAGCCTTCACTCATCTCAAGGTCAGGTTTGGGAATCACGCAAGAAAGCGGGTCTCCGGGCCTTCAGGAGGGTGGGGGGCGGGGGGAGCCTGGCTCGGCTGACCTCCCTGTTCCTCCAGGCCAAGGGTGAAATCCCGGAAGTGGCGTTCATGAAGTGACCCTGGCCGCCGGGCCCCTGTAAATAGCCCCGGATAGCGATGTCTCCCTGCCCGTGGTAGTCGGCTCTCGTCCGGCCAGCCAGGCGGGGACTGGGACTGACGGAGGAGGGAGGCCGCGCCCCTCCCGTCGCCTGCCTTCCCGGAGCCCCGCACCATCTCCAGAAAGTGGAGTCCCACTGGGGCCAGGAACCCAAGCGCCGTGTAGAACTGACACTAACGACCCGAAGGACTGAGGTGCTTTGTGCCCTTCACCCCAGGATCCCGCCTCCCCGACTTTTTAAGATAAAGAGTGAGATTGTATTTTGTGTCGCGTTTTGCCTGGTCTGTGGTTAAAGGGAAAGGGGCTGGGACGGAGGCCGCCTGCCTCTCGGAGCCAATGAAGAGGCTGGGGGCGGGCCCCGCCCGCAGGAAGTCCCGCCCCGGAAGCAGGCTGCGCTTCCATGGCGGCACCGGGGCGGCGGTGGCTGGTGCCGCTGCTCGTGGCGGCGCGGGGCTTCCCCGCACGCCGAGCCCTGCACGAGTGGGCCCCGGCGCGGGATGTGCTGCTCTTCGAGCACGAGCGGGGCCGCTTCTTCGCGGTCCTGGGGCTCTTCTGCGCCGGCCAGGGCGTCTTCTGGGCCTCGCTGGCCGGCGCGGCCCTGGCCCGACCCCCGGTCCCCGCGCGGCCTCCGGATGCGGCCACAGACCCCGGCCGTGTGGACGTGCGCTCCGCGCTCTGGCGCTACGGCCTGGCCGTGGGCTGCGGCGCCATCGGTGAGGAGCTGGGCCCGACCCTCCAGGATGAGCAGGGGTGGGGGGCAGGCCGCCCCCAGTAGAAGTGAGGGACACCGGAGGCGGAGTCCGAGCACCGAGCCCTGGGACAGGCAGGCCTAGGCTGAGGCCGGCCACTCGCTGTGCGATCTCGAGCAAGTTACTGCGGCCCGGGACCAGTTTTCTCCTTAAAATGGGGCTGGGCATCTATTAAGTAATGTTGGGAGGAATGAGTAACCAAGGATCTGGGGTCTGTAAATGTTACGTCTTTTACTCAGAGTGCACGAGGGCTGCTGCTAGCGCTCCCGGAAACCCTTCACCCCACTCCGCTCCTCCCTGCAGGTACCCTGGTCCTGGCCGCTGGACTTCTCTTCTCCCTGCGCTCTGTGCGGTCGGTGATACTGCAGGCTGGAGGGAAGCGGGTGACCCTCACCACTCACGCCCCCTTTGGCTTGGGAGCGCAGTTCACTGTTCCCTTGAACCAAGTATCCTGCATGGCCCACCGGGGTGAAGTCCCTGCCGTGGTGCCTCTAAAGGTCAAAGGCCGACGCTTCTACTTCCTCTTGGACAAAGCTGGGTATTTCCCTAACACAAAACTCTTTGACAACACTGTGGGTGCCTACCGCAGCTTGTGAAAAAGCCACCTCGGGACACGCACCCCTCCAGGAGGGGAACAAAAACCACCTTTAGGCCCTGCCCAGTGTGGCTCGGTTGCAGCATTGTCCCAGTGCATGGAAAGATCTTGGGCACGCCGGTGGCTCAGAGGTTAAGCATCAACCTATGAACCAGGAGGTCCCAGTTCAGTTCCCCATCAGGGCATATGTCCGGGTTGCAGGCTCATGCAGGAGGCAGCCGATCAATGATTCTCATCATTGATGTTTCTCTCTCTCCCTTCCTCTCTGAAATGAAATCAATAAAGATATATTTTAAAAAGGGAAGGATCTTGGGTTTGATTCTAATCAGAGCACATGCCCAGGTGTGGGTTCCATCCCTGGTTGGGGTGCATAGGGGAGGCAACTGATATTTCTCACTGATGTTTCTCTCCCTGCCCTTTCTCTAAAATCAGTAAAAACAAATCCTCAGGTGATAATTAAAAACACACACAACTGAACCCTAGGGTGGGTGGCAACCAGAGTAATACAAGGGGGCCCAAGACTACATAGCAGCAAATAAAAGTCATTTCCAGGGCAGACACCTGAACGTACTCTTGACCTGTTTAGCCTTTACTCTTTCCTCCCATCCATCTGCCTACAGCGCTCTCATACTAAGGACTCGGCACCAAGATGAAGGAAGTCGTATAATAATATTCTGGTACAAAAACAGCTGTAAGAAGAGGTGGAGGGGGGCTGTCTTCATGTTTCCCTCTTCGAGGGAACTGAGGCTCTCAGCATCACAGGGCCAAGGGGGCAAGGGGGGCAGGAGGACTGCAGGCACTTGGGCCAGGAGCCAATGGCTGCAGGAAGCGCTTCAGGAAGGGGAAAGGCGGGGCCCCACCAGGACGTCTGTCTCAGAGCTCCATTCCGGGTCCCCCCTCTCCAGAAGCCGGTATGGGGTGGCTTCAGACTTCAACTGCACGACCTGGAGCACCAAGACCACACACCACAGTACCAGATTGACCCAGGAAGAGTTCTGTGGGAGACAGGGACAGGTGTGAGGAGCGGCACCTCAATCCGGTTCCGCCCGCACACCGCTCTGAACTGCTGGCTGCCAGGCGGCCAAGCCCTTCGGCTCTTCTCAGCCTCACTGGTGGGCACCCCTAAACCTATACAGGTGCCTCTACGAATCTGGGTATCCCTGGGCCTCCACTCAGTCCTTCATATCCCAAGACCTCACTTCAGCATTGTGTAGGTTGGAGTAAAAATGTAGAGCGGTTCCAGGGGGTGTCCATGGAATTTTCTGGGCTTCAGAGCAGCTGTGAGGTCAAAAAGACAGTTGTGAGAAAGGGGGGGATATATCCCAAATAAATACTCTTGCGCCTGAGCGCCCTTTGAGATGAGAATAATCGACTGGGATGAAACGGGAGTACAGGACGCCCTCTGCAGAGGGAAGTTGGCCCCAGGGGTCAGGCTTCCCCCATCTCCCATTACCTAATTGTAGCGTTCTGAGAGATGATGGAGTTGCAGAGAGAACTGGTGCCAAACCGAAGGACACAGGCCGACACTAAGACCAGGAAGGTGGCTACAGCCGAGATGGCCAGCGCAATGCGGAGCCCTATCCGGCCTCTATGAGGGAGAGAACAGCCTTGTGGTGGCGGCGGGACTCCCCCCACCTCGCCCCTGGCCCTCGGAGTGGGAGAGTCACCTTTGGGAGTCCTCGATGCAGCTGCTGTAGACCCAGAAGAGCAGAAGCAGGAGACAGTAGAGGGCCAGGAGGCCAGAGGCCCCAGCCACAAAGTAGCAGAGGGAGGGGGCTGAGCCCCTGGATAAGGCCAGGGAGGAGCGGTTCAAGGCCGCCACGCCATACAGGGGACAGCGGCCGCCGAAGGAGCCCTGCGGAGAGAAGCCGCTGAGTGCTGATCTCGGGGGAGCGCCGCGGGACGGGATGCGGCTCCGGGCAGGTGCCGGGGTAACCTGGGCCGGGCCACCCCAGGGAGCTATTTGCAGTCAGTTCCTCTCTGGGCCACTAGGAGGCCTGCTGGGGTGATCACGCCCGCGGTGGCCAGAGGATCGGGAAACGGGCGGTGGTTATACACGGAGCTGCTCACAGCCCGGCCTCCGGCGTTCCCTAACCTGAAGCCTGTGCCTGCTTCCTGGGGTTCGGGGGCCTGTGTCCTGGCGAGCCCTGCTGCCTGGGGCGGAGCGGGTACAGCACCGGCTGGTTCCCTGGCTCTTTCCCCATCGCTGTCACTCCCGCTGCCCGTGCTGTCACATGGCCGCTGGTCGGCCGCCCCCCCCGGCCCCCCCCCCCCCCCGCGTCCTCTGGGCGCAGCTCAGCACCTCGCGTCTCAGGTGCGGGCGAAGGCAGGGCCTCGCCGATTTGTCTCAACACCCGGGGGAGGACGCCCGGGAGCGGCCCTTTGGCAGCAGCAGGATTTAGACTCGACCTGGGAGGAGTCGCTCAGGGCCGACACTGGCCGCGGCGGACCGCCGGCTGAGCGGTGTCCCGGGTTAGAGCGGCCCCCCTCCGCCGCGCCCCGCCCGCCCGCACCTGGGTCCGGGTGAGCGTCGCGGCCGCCAAGGCCCCGCACAGGAAGGCGGCGGCGAACAGCACGAGCTCGATGCGCTGCAGGCAGGGCAGCGCCATGGCTCCCCGGTCCCCAGGAAGCGCGGCGGCCGCACGACCGCCCAAGCCCCGCCTCATCCGGCGCGACCGAGCGGAGACTGGAGACTGAGCGGGGCGGGCGGGTTTATTGCGGGCGGCGCCGCTAGAGCGGCAGGTACAGCGAGTAGTCGGCGAGCGCCCAGCGGCGGGCCGGGCGGCCGGTGCGGCCGATCATGGGCAGCTTCTGCACGTAGCGGGAGGCGGGGCCGGGCCCGCAGGGCGCGGGGAAGGCGGTCTGGAAGCGGCGCCCGCGGCAGCGCCGCCCCGCCTGCCGCCCCGCGATGATGAAACGGAAGTGGGGGGCGCCGCGCGGGGCGAAACGGCTTTTCTGGAAGACGTCGCGGGGCCCGGGGCCCTGCTGCCGGGGCGCCCCCCGCGCCCGGTGCACGCGCGGCAGCGGCCTGTTGTCGGAGGCGGCGGGCGCGGGGGCCGCGGGGGGCCCGCTGCCCCGGGGACTCTCGTCGCCCGGCGGGCTGACCACGGCGCTGGCCGTCAGCTGCGGCATCTTCCGCACCGAGTCCGGGGCCGCCGCCGGCTCCTTCTTGTCCCCGGGCGGCCGCGGGGTCGTAGGCGAGGGCTGGCCCGTGCCGAAGCGGGTGGCCAAGCTGTCGCCGAAGAAAGCGTAGAGCTCCCGGTAGATGTCCGCCAGGGTCACCGGAGGGCCAGGCTCCGACGGCCCCGCGCCGCCCGGCGGCAGCGGGAGGCCCGACCCGAAGCCGGGCTCGGCGCCGCCCCCGGAAGGAGACTCCTGCAGGAGGAGGCTGTCCCAGGGCAGGTCATCGGGGCGCCGGCACCCCCTGCCGCCAGGCCCACTGCGGTGGGGCTCGGCCGCCTGCGCCTTCATCTTCAGCAGCCGCTCCACGGCCACCTGGGGGAGAGGACAGGCTGTGCGGGGGCCACGAGGGCCGGCCCCCGGGCATTGCGGGGGGGGGGGGGGCGGCCCGGGGGCATTGCTGGAGGGCTGGCCAGCGGGATATTGCGGGGGGGGGGGCGCCCGCTCACTCACCAGAATGGCGCCGTAGACCTTGTGCCCGTCCGCTTTCACCTGGGCATTGGATACGGAGTAGTCATCCAGCACGGCCTGCAGGTTCGTCCAGTAGGTGGACAGGTGTGGGTACAGGACGCGCTCCACTGCCTGGAAGAGAGAGAGGGATGCAGAGGGCCTCTTGGTGGCTAATCGCCGCCAATGCCCTTTCCCATGAAAGTCCTACTTTTATCCCTGATACTGGACAGGGCTCCCTCCTAACTTCCCTGCGTGGCATCTCAACCAACATTTATTTGGAACCTACTGTGTGCACAAGCCTTCACTGAGCCCTGGAAATTAAGGTGGGTACAAAGACACAATATAAAGGATCTGCTACAACTGACATGCCGCGTCACTGACACGAGGGCCAAGAGGGTATAAGTGATGGCCAGGGCTAACGGGAGGAATTTAGGTGCCAACTGCTTCCCTGTACACACAGTACTGTCTTCGCCTGGATGTGAATGGGGTCTCAGCTCAAACCACAAAAACAAGTCAGAGTCCTGGATTCCTGATTACAGAATTTTAAATCCGTAAGTCAATTTGCAGAAAGCAATTAAGACTTCACAGCGGAGGTTATGTTTCTGTGGGGCTCTGATGGGTAAGAGCCTTTGGTGAGTCGTCCACAGCCTGAGGATCTGAAAATACTGACAGAACTGACAAGCTCCTAGAAAAATATGACTTGCTACAGACAAGAGCTATGAAAGCTTAAAAAATTTTGTAACTGCAGTAATTACAAATCTAACGACAAAACACCACGCCAAATTTGACAGTCTACAGACACTCAAGAAATGAGCATCTCAATATTATTAAACCAAATATAATAACGGAATACCCTCCCCCATTCTGTAAAGCCAATGTAAACCTGTCCCTAAAACCACACAAGGACAGTACATAAGCAAACACATGGCTAATTTCATCATGAATGTAAGGAAATCCTTTAAAATGTCAGTAAACTCACCAGTATATAGAAAATACACTACACTCTAATACTGTTTAAAGACTATATACCATGACCAAATTGAGTATATCCCAGAAATGTACATATCGTTCACTAAGAAACTCTGTCTCTAAGTCTCCCTCCCCTCCCCACCCCTCGCCCCCCCCCTCCCCGCACACTAAGACTGGGCAGCCACTGAGCAGATCAGACTCCTCGAACCCCACTCCCCCAGCTCTGCAACCACAGCTGACAAACCCAGTGTGGCTGAGACTGAGGGATTTGGTAAGTTGAAACTGAAGACAGAAATGCAAGAGAAAAACCCACTGCCTTCAAAAGAAAAGAACTACCGACAGGAAAGGCTGCACCTGCCTCTCCCATCTGCCTGCCTGGCTGGCAGGGAAGGAAAAGAACTTGCATGTTGGCAAAGGAAGAAGCTGGGTGCGACCAGTGAAGTTTAAAATAAAAACAAAAACATGCAGGTCCAGGTGTGTGTCTCTGTCAAACTGTGACCTCTTGGTTTATAGGTCAATGCTTAACCACTGAACCACACCAGCTGGGCTGCACACAGGACTTTTGAAGGGATAAGACATTTATATACAGAAGATCAGTGAACCAATGTCACCCCAATCTATATGTATAAAAGGCTAAGTGACCGACCAGCCAACCGACCATCCGGTACATGATCCTCACTGGCAATTTAAAAATAAACATTGACCCAGTGCACAAATTTGTGCACATTGAAAGGAAATTATAAGAATTATCTTACTATCGCTATTCTCCCTTTCTCTATGATAGAAGTGTCAACCAAATTCACTATTGACAATGACAGATCAAAACACGAGACTGGCATCAGCAAGAGCTTTATATGTATTGCACATGTGCAAATCAACTTAGCCTTTTATAGATATAGAATAAACTTGCTTAATTAGACCTGCTTTCTGATTTAGCTAAACTTTTTCCAGCCCAGTGAAGCACCCCAACTTCTCTTTCAGATAATCGTCAGCAACACAGCAGTAAATATCAACATGAAGCAGATTATTATTGTAGATCACGCAGGGAGAACAAAGGGTCAAATATTTAACTGCAGCAGTGTTTGATTATATACTGTGCAGTGAGAAAACCTGAAGTCATTTTCAAGGCCCACCATTTCTTATTTCTTTTCAGTCAGGTCAAGTTTCTAAACTTTCTAAATCTCCGTTTTCTAGCTAATGAAAAGAATATAGGATTCCACTGAGTCTCCTATCTACCTACTCCAGGCCTTCTGTGAGGATCAAATGAGATGAGGCATGGGAAAACACTTCAAAGACATTTGGTTAAAGTGTGAAATGTTTCCACCTAGCTATAAAGCAAGTTGTGTTCCTGGGCTGAAGAAACTCCAAGGATGCTAGTCATCGCTAGGGAGAGGAAGCTGGGCATCGCTACATGATGTCATTACCCGGTCAGACACTCAGCGTATTAGCCTTTTATATATATATAGATTTCTTCTAATTAATTTCCTTTCAATGTGCACGATTCCATGCACCAGGCCACTAGTAAATTCAATAAAAAAGAAAGAAATAGTCCTATCTGGTTTGGCTCAGTGGATAGAGCATTGGCCTGCGGACTGAAGGATCCCAGGTTTGATTCCAGTCAAGGGCACATGCCTGGGTTGCAGGCTTGATCACCAGTGTGGGGCATGCAGGAGGCAGCCGATCGATGATTCTCTCTCATCATTGATGTTTCTATCTCTCCCCCTCCCTTCCTCTCTGAAATCAATAAAAAAATATTTTTGTAAAAAATAAAGAAAATAAACAAATAAGCACTGGCCTGTGTTGCTTAGTTGGTAGGGGTGTCCGTCCTGTACATGGAGAAGCCGCGGGTTTGATCCCCAGTAGTTCTCTCTTATCAATGTGTCCCTCCCTCCCTCCCTCCCTTCCCTCTTCCTCTCTAAAAAAAATAAATCAATAAAAATATATTTTTCAAAAACACAAAAAACTTACCCCCAAAATATAAGTAAATAGAAAAAAACAGAAGTATCTAATACATTTGGACATAAGCATAACAAAAATAAAAGGCTATCACTGAGCCTGGCCTAAGGCAAGAACTCAGTGCACAGCAGCAGCAAGGATACACCATTTTTATGATAAAACACACACATGTACCATTTTCCTAATGACAAATGGCAACTCTAAAGGCTGTGAGAAAGGCCAGGTCCTCACCTTCCAGCCAAGGGCATGCAGCCCCACCACAGCCCCGTAGTGAGAGCAGAGAGGCCGTACAGGGTCTGCCAAGACCTTCTGCAGGGACAGCAGGATCTGCTGATAGAGGCCACTGACAAGGTCCCCATGAGTCCTGTGGGAGCAGCATGCAGTCAGAGGGGCGGAGGCAGCGCCTGCCCAACACGGTTCCAGTCACAGCACGCGGAGAAAACGGCACCTGCACGGCCCTTGTGGGGGTGAACGAGGGGCCAGGGTAGCTGCCCGGGACCTGAGGCCGAAGGACCAAATCCTCAGTATGTTGTCATCCACCTGTCGCATCCCAGTGCACCACGGCACACTGTGTGGGAAGCTCCCAGGGAATGGGCTCCCCACCTCTCAACACACGGCCTCCAGAGCAGAATGGACCCCATCTCCTCCCCCAACCCACTCAGCTCTGCAGGTCCCACCCTGGACTCCGCTCGAGGCCCAGTGGCTACCAGAAGATGTGGCTGAGGAGGAGGGCGGCCCCATCCCGCAGAGTCCAGTGGTCATTCAGGGGGTTGATGGAGGCAGCCAGGGGCTCCAGGACGCAGTAGAGGACACTGCCCACCAGAGAGCGGACATAGGGCCCCAGGCAGAGGTGCGGGTTCCGAACCAGGCTCCGGGCCACTTGCAAGAGCCGGTGCAGCTGCTCCAAATCATGGCTCACAGACTTCACCTGTTGGGGGAAGAGGATGGCTGAGGGGCACAGGAGGGGCCCAGGAGCCTGCATTCTGATGGCACCGTCCAGGAGCCCCACATGCTGCTGGGTCACCGCCTCCACCAACGTCCTCCCAGCCCCGCCTGCTCACTCACCCCGCTGACCACATACACGAAGTACGGCAGGAGCGCTGCGATCTTGGAGTTGGTCTGCAGGTCCTGGAGAGCAATCTGAAAAGGAAGGGGCAGCCTCACTGGACCCACCAGCCCCAGGCAGAACTGGCTTTTTATATATATTTTTATATAAATATAAGAGGTAGGCAGAGGGAGATAGAAACATCCATGATGAGAGAGAATCATTGATTGGCTGCCTCCTGGACACCCCCTACTGGAGATCGAGCCTGCAACCAGGGCAGATGCTCCTGACGGAATCGAACCTGGGACCTTTCAGTCCGCAGGCCGACACTCTATCCACTGAGCCAAACCGGCTAGGGCAGAAGCCAACTTTTTTTTAAAGGACAGTTTAGCACTGACGTATTAAAGTTTTAAATGTTTACACTTTTTGATTCAGCAATTTAACTTCTATAAATTTAACCCACTGTAAAAGAAGCCCACACACAGCACAGTCTGTACTGATCAAAAATTGGCCCCAGCTGGCGTGGCTCAGTGGTTGAATGTCCACCCATGAACCAGGAGGTCACGGTTCAATTACTAGTCAAAGCACCAGCCTGGGTTGCAGGCTCAATCCCCAGTGTGGGGTGTGCAGGAGGCAGCCAATCAAGGATTCTTTCTCATCATTGATGTTTCTACCTCTCTCTTCCTCTCCCTTCCTCTCTGAAATTAATACAAATATATATTTTTTTAAATAATAAAAATTTAATGCCGAAACCGGTTTGGCTCAGTGGATAGAGCGTCGGCCTGCGAACTGAAAGGTCCCAGGTTCGATTCCGGTCAAGGGCATGTACCTGGGTTGCGGGCACATCTCCAGTAGGGGGTGTGCAGGAGGCAGCTGATCGATGTTTCTCTCTCATCGATGTTTCTAACTCTCTATCTCTCTCCCTTCCTCTCTGTAAAAAATCAATAAAATATATTAAAAAAAAAATTTTTTTAATTGAATGCAACCTAATGCCTTTTTTTTTTTCATTTCACTTTTTGTTGTTGTTGTTGTTAATCTTCACCCGAGATATTTTCCCATTGATTTTTAGAGAGAGTGGAAGAGAGAGGGAAAGACAGAAACATTGATGTGAGAGAAACACATCGACTGGTTGCTTCCTGCACTGTGCCCTGACCAGGGCCCGGGCCAGGGAGGAGCCTACAACCAAGATACATGCCCTTGACCAGAATCAAACCTGGAACCCTTTGGTCCACAGGCTCTATCCACTGAGGCAAACTGGCTAGACTAGAGCTTCATTTCACTTTAAGTTAAATTCATTGGGGTGACAATGACTAATGGAATTATATAGATTTTAAGTATGCGATACATCACCTATGATACACTGCATTGTGCGCCCACCACCCAGAGTCCGATCTTCCAAGATATTTTACTGAGAAAAGCAGCGGTTCTAAAACCAGGCGTCTCGGTAGGGCCCCGGGGGCTTGTACTAGAGCAGTCACTGTTTATACACGGACAGAAGGTGGGGTCCACAGGAGACTCTCACTTCCTACTTTGTATGTCTTTGTGTACAGTAGTTCCACAATAAACATCTGCTGCCATTACTTTTATACGCGGAAAAAACACATTAAATGAAGAAAATGTTGTTACCCAGCACCTCCGCCACCTGTGCCCTCCAAACCCCTCTGGATACAGTCCCAAGGCTGCGGCTGGGGAAGCAGACGTCAGGCCCGTGGGGAGGGCGTCAGCTCCCAGGCCCACAGCTGGCCCTGCCCTGTGCCCGGGGAACAGGAGCCAAGCCTGTGAGGCAGGAAGGGATGGGAGCCACATTCCTCATCTTCAAGGGAAAAACAACAGCAGCCAGAGACGTAGAGACGTGGAGGATGGAAAACCCTAAAGCAGAGGCCACGTGGTGGAGCAGCCACCAAACTACCCTCGGACTTGGACAGACAGGACTCACAGGCACTGCCCAGCAGGCCTCGGAGCCCCAGAGCCTAAAGCGGCAGGGGCTGGTCTGAGGCCTGGGGAGGTCTCAGAGCAGGCCTGGCTCCCTCTCCTTCCTCTGCTCCCGACCGCTCACCCCGACCCACCCCGATCTCAAGTCCAGGCAAAGGAGTTTCAGTGTTGATGCCCCTCTTAGCCCCAGGCCCACAGACACTCCGAGAGTGGGCTCTGGGACGAGGTGTGGGGAGGCACCCGGGGCCCTGCTGAGCTGCCCATGCCCTAAGGATCAGGGCTCCTCCTGGCGTAGGAGAGGAGTCGGCACTGGAGGAGGCCGGGCTCAGAGCAGCACAGCTGGGAACAGCTCCCACACACGGCAGCCATCAGTGCGCAGAGGACAGGGAGTAGGCATCCAAAAGAACTTCATGAGAATTCGGAAGCTGGACTTGGTGTCCCGAATGGGGGCCCACTCACTACCTTCATCAGCTGTGGGTCGTCCCCCAGGACAGCGCGAGTCACTTGCTGGTAGTACTTGAGCAGGTCATCGGTCAGTGAAGACACAGCGCTGGGCACTGTGAGACGATGGGCAGGAGGTGGTCAGGGTGGAGAGCCCAGCCCGCTCTTGGCCTCCCTTGCCTGCTCCCCCACAACCACCATCCCCCTCCCCCACCAGGAGCCTGTTCAGACAGGACCCCCAGAGCACAGAGCCGCCAGCCCCGCTGAGCTGCCTGACCTTGCAAGCTCTCACCACTCTGTGCTCTGCCCCCACCCCTCCTCTGCCAGGCAGATTCCTGCTCAGCCCTTAAGCCCCACGCTCTGCTCAGCAGGCCCTGGAAGTGAGGCACATGCCCCAGGGACCCCGCGTGCTGCTCAGACTTCCGTGCTCGCACCCAACACGCAGCATCACGGCTGGTTACAGGAATGAGCCCCCATCTCCAGTGCTGAGCCCTCTGGGCAGAGACCAGTGTCCACTCAGAACGAGGTGTCGATAAGTATTTGTGAGCTGGTCTCAGGGGTGTAGAGGTACCACCCTCAGCTCCTGCGGGAGGAGGGTTTGACCAGGGGGCCCGCTCCCCACAGCTGCCTTACCCGATCCTTGAGGCGCCAGGTTCCCTTTGCCGTCCAGGTAGGAGACATGAACTAGAACCAGAGCAGAGAGAGGGCTCGGCTGGGGCTTTGCCCTCGTCGCGCCCCCCACCCCCCCAGATGTGCTCCACCCACCAGCCAGCCCAGCACCACTCCCCTGACAGCCTCGCTCTCGCTCCCCGCTCCACGCTCCACGAGGGACCTGCATTCACCTCTCACAGCCGTCTCGGCACAGCCTTTGGGGATGTTGGTGGCCAGGGCCAGCTCCACCAGGTTCACCTCCCGGTCCTCAGGGAAGTAGAGCTCCCCCTCCCTGACGGGGCGCAGGGGCAGCGCCTCCTGGGCTCCGTACCCGCACACGGCCTGGCAGAGAGAGCAGAGACAGGCTGACCGGGAGGAGGGGGCTCTCCCGCTGGGCAGGCAGCCTCACCCGTGGAAAGGCCAGAAATCCTGAGAAAAGGCGGGGGGGGGGGGGGGGGGGCGGGGGGGGGGCCTGGGGCTTTAGACCCATCACGGGAAGCGTAGCTGAAGGATCCAGTGCTCACTGGGTCAAGATGGAGAACATGGGTCCCCCTCCCACATCCACAGGGACTCTGAGTCTCCGCCCCCACCCCTCCCCATCCCCCTCCGCCCGCCACTGTCCTCCCTCCTCCTCACGCTCACCCAACTGTGAAAACACTATCTTCTAAACAAGACCTCCCTCCCCTGACGCCCTGGCCCAGAACAACTATCAGGACATACGCACCCACGCGGCCCAGGCTCCTCCCGCCCCCACTATGCCTCTCCTCCTCCCAGCCGTCTACTCCAGCCTCCTTGGAAGGCCCAGCTCAAGTCCCCTCTCTTCCCAGAAGCCTCCCTACCCCGGCCCCGTGCCGCTCTCCTTTTCTGAACTGAGACCGGGGCCTGCGCCCAGCCCTGCCCCGCAGCGTGCGCTTCCCTCGCGTGTGCATTCGGCCTCAATGCGCTACCAGCCCCGAGTGTGCGTGGCCGAGTGTGCGTGGCCGGAGGCGGCTCCTGCGGCTGCGCCCTGCACCTGCCCACGCACCTCCACGCTGCTCCACCGGAGGGCCCTGTTGAAGTCCTCCACGGTCAGCTTCCGCCGTTTGGTGTGTTTCATGAACTGAGAGCTGTTCTGGGAGCGGAGGGGCAGAGTCAGGGGATGGGGAGCAGGGGGCGCGGGCCTGCGGGGCACAGAGGCAGCCGGGGGAAGAGGCGGAAAGGATGCCAGGCCAGCCAGCAGAAAGCCTGGGTTCCAGCTCTGCTCTTAGGCAGACAACACCCAGCGCCGGTCCCCCTGGGCCCTGGCTTCTCACACGCAGCATGTGAACAGGAACCTGCCGGGCTGCCAGCGGGGCTGCTGCGAGGAGCACAGAAGATGCCCAGGACCTGCTCTGTCCGCCGGAAGCCCAGGTGGTTAGAAGGGGAGCCCTGGGAGGGGCAGGACTCCCTCCAAGCACAGGGCAGGCGCCCGATATGTTTGGTGAGTAAACCCCTGTGTGAGGGGGGGACAGGGGGTAGGAAGGAGAGCTGGGGGTGGGGAGTGGGGTGCGCACCTGGGTGGCCTCTCTGAGCCGGTAGCACACGTCCTCTGCGAGCAGGGCCGCCACCTCGTCGCTCAGCTCCAGGCCCGTGCTCTCTGCCATGAGGCGCACCGACTCCCGAGGGATCTCCACAAACCGCCGCTCTTCCCGCTCCGACATGGCCCCGGTGGAGCTGGGAGAGGGGAGGGGAGGTTGGCAAAGCCCCCCATCCCCCTGAGCGCCCGGGAGCCTGCCTCCAGGCCCCTCCACTGGGTCTTGCAGCTCCGGCTCCAGATTCCCCACCCGAGGAGCCACGAAGGCTCTGAGCCAGCGTCCAGGGGAGGAACTCTGAGTCTCAGAGCAACAGACTTGAGCGGGGCAGCCGGCAGTGCCGCCTGAGAACACTGAGAACGTGCCTGGCCTTGGGATCCAGGGGACTGGCGCCCGGCCCGGCCCTACCACTTCCTGTGTGAATGTGATCGAGACCTTCATCAGCCTGAGCAACTGGTGTTCTAAATTGTAAATCAATTTAGGGTAATAATCCTCACCCTCCCCAACTCACGGGCTGCTATGAGAACAGAATGAGATGATGTATAGAAAGCCAGGGACCATGCCCTAGCCCAGCGGTTCTCAACCTTCCTAATGCCGCGACCCTTTCATACAGTTCCTCATGTTGTGGTGACCCCCAACCATAAAATTATTTTCGTTGCTACTTCATAACTGTCATTTTGCTACTGTTATGAATCGTAATGTAAATATCTGATATGCATATTTCAGATGTATTTTCATTGTTACAAATTGAACATTGTTACAAATTGAACATAATTAAAGCATAGTGATTAATCACAAAAACAATATGTAGCCCTAGCTGGTTTGGCTCACTGGATAGAGCGTCGGCCTGCGGACTGAAGGGTCCCAGGTTCGATTCCGGCCAAGGGCACATGCCTGGGTTGCGGGCTTGATCCCCAGGAGGGGGCGTGCAGGAGGCAGTCACTCAATGATTCTCTCTTATCATTGATGTTTCTATCTCTTTCTCCCTCTTCTTTCCTCTCTAAAATCAAAATGTATTTTAATATATTTTTTTTTTATTGATTTTTTACAGAGATGAAGGGAGAGAGATAGAGAGTTAGAAACATCGATGAGAGAGAAACATCGATCAGCTGCCTCCTGCACATCTCCCACTGGGGATGTGCCCGCAACCCTGGTACATGCCCTTGACCGGAATCGAACCTGGGACCTTTCAGTCCGCAGGCCGACGCTCTATCCACTGAGCCAAACCGGTTTTGGCGTCTAAAATCAAAATGTATTTAAAAAAAAAAAAAACAATATGTAATTATATGTTTTCCGACGGTCTTAGGCGACCTCTGTGAAAGGGTCGTTCGACCCCCACAGGAGTCGCGACCCACAGGTTGAGAACCGCTGCACTAGACTGTAGGCTCCCTGCCGGCAAGGATCATGCCTGTTTGCTCACCTTTGCATCCCCAGCGTCCAGCAGTGTCAGCACATAACACGCCCTCGATAAACACTTGCTGCAAAAGATGAAGAGCGGCTATTTTTCTACGCACATGCTACGCCTGAGGCAGGCACTGAGCTAAGTGCTTCTAGGCTTATACCTCCACCTCGTGAACAACAAGATGGGTGTTGGGTAAGTACTGTGTCTGTTTCACAGCCCAGGAAGTCAGCTCAGAGAGGTAAATGTCCATGGCTTCTCCAAGCTCACCCATCCAGCGAGCACCAGGTAGGGAGCAGGGACTCAAACCCTTGTCCCTAATCCTCGGGAGTGGCGGGCTGTGGGGGGAACAAGGCCTGGGTTTCCAGCGCGAAGACCTGGCGTTGCAGACCCGCCAATAGATGGTTGTTAAGTTTCTGCTCCCCCATCTGTAAAATGGGAGCATGAAGTCCAGCCCCGGGAAGGCGCGGAGGGAGGGTCCCTTTGCGTTCCCACATTCACACCCACAAAGTCGCGTCTGGCACCAACATCTCCCGCTCCTCCGCCTCCCCTCGGCCTCCGCAGCCACTAGCCAGACCGGTGGGGAGGCGTGGGAACTGGCCGCTACCGGCCTCCGTGCGGCGCATCCTCCCACCCAGCTGCACGCATCCCGGACCCAGAGGTGAAGGGGTGCGGCGCCAGAGGTCAAGGGTTACCGAACTCGGGTCACGTGGTCAGCGAAGGGGGCGGGCCCCCGGCGGAGCGGGCTCGAGGCGGGTCCGAGTGCGCAGCCCGCAGCGGGGCGGGGCGAGGTGGGCCTGTGAGGGCTCGCTCACCTGAGGGCTCCGGCCGGCGAAGGTGGCTCCGAGACCTCGGCGACAGCGGCGGCGGCGGCCCTCTCACCCCGCCCACACGAGTTCCCTCTCTCCGCGCTCAGGCCCGCACTCCGCGAGCACAGCCAATCCGCGAGCACCTGGGGAAGTTCCCGCCCTCCAGGAGGCTTCCAGCCACGCGATTGGTCACTGGGAAGGGGCCGTAAAAGCCCCAGGCGCCGGGGCCACGTGACTTTACAGGATCGCGCTTCTTAAAGCAACAGCTCTTGGGAGGTTGCGGAGCCAGGGTGTATGACTTTGTGTACTTTTTTTTTTTTTTGACTTTGTGTACTTTTTAATAACTTTCAAGGAAAGCGTCCCCAGGCCCTTGGTCTCGCCTGCTCCTGAGCTTCCGAGCGCTTGCATTTATGCGACTGCAGCAAAGCTTCAGACTGGCTTCGTTTTCTCGCCCTCTTAGTGGAGCTCAGCTTCCCTCTCCAGCATCACCTGCCACTTACCTTTCCCAAAGAATGGGTAAGGCTCCCGGGCCGGTACTCTTCGCGGCCAGAAGGGTCTTCAAACCCACGTGCAAGTCCAGACCGCCGCGCTCTGCTCATTCGGGCACCCTACCTCCTATCTTCCCCGTTCCCGTCCTATAAACCAAATACAAACCCTCACCTACCTCGCCGACTTCCTTGACCGGTTACACGCACAAGGGCAATTCTCAACTGAGAAGCAAGGGGGCTTATTGACGAAAAGATGGTATCTGGAGTCAGACCAACCTGGGTTCAAGTTCTAACACTGCTTTTGGGCGAATTACCTAACCGCAGCTCCCCCATCTACAAAATGGGTAATAATACCCACCTCACAGTTACTGTAGGTTGAGATGTTTGTGAAAGCGCTTTGCAGAGTTGGTGGTTGAACTTTCTTTCACTCACACATCATGAGGCAGACAGTAAACTAATTAATTCCTTTATGTTTATCCAAGAAGGGGCAGTTTGCACGAGCGATTCTAGAATGGAGCTTTCTGCAGGGGAGCGAGCATGGATGTAACATCCTCACTCTCCCTCCCTCTCGGGGTAGGTGTTGCTGCCTTTAGAAAAGATCCTCAGAGACTAGAGCTGGGAGAGCCAAGTGGATGTGAGTGAGGTTGCCATGGCAACGCCGCCTAAGGGGACTGCGACCCCGCTGAGTTTCCTCCAACCATATTCAGAATGGCATCTGCATTGGGAATAAATATTACGCTTGCACTTGAGCAGGGTTCTCAACCTTCTGGCCCTTTAAACACAGTTCCTCATGTTGTGACCCAACCATAAATTATTTTTGTTGCTACTTCAAACTGTAATGTTGCTATTGTTATGAATTGTCATGTAAATATCTGATATCCAGGATGGTCTTAGGCGACCCCTGTGAAAGGGTCGTTCGACCACCAAAGGGGTCGCGACCCAAAGGTTGAGAACCGCTGCTCTAGAGTGTCTGTCCTCCTGTGCGTGAAGGGAAGGACTGAGGTCCTGAGTCTGAGATCAGATCAGCAGAATCTGGGCCACTGGCAGATCTTCCTAAGATACTGGGCTGGAGAGTCATGGGCAACCTTGGAGGCATGAGACAATCAAAAGAGGAAGGCCAGGGACCCGAGGGATGTTGGGAAACTACCCAAGCTGCCTGGGACTCCTTTGCCCCCAACCTAAGTGGGGACAAAGGCCAGGCAAAGCAATAATTATAGGAAGTGTGGCCACAGATCCAGCACAGTAACTTTCCTGGATTTAACAGACTTAGAAAAGCTGGCGCAGTGCTGAGAGCTGGAGATATAAAAAAGACAGGGATGCATGTGAGTCTACAATTATCTCAATAAAACAACTGAAACTTTACATAATTAAAAAATGAAAAGGGAGACAATAGCAAAATAATGTTTCTGACCCACCACAGAGGCCTAAATGGAACAGCTTCTAGCAGTCCAGGAGTTGGGAAGGCAAGGTGAACAGAACCACATTCGTACCATGTTCCAGGCCTTATTCTGGATGCTTCCAGTCAGGGTTCTGGACCTTGGCACACTCACATTTGAGGCTAAATAACTCTGTTGGGGGTGGGGGGGCTGTGCTATATACCCTGTAGGATGTTTAGCCTCATCCTTGGCCTCTACCTACTAGAAGGCAGTAACACCCCCCCACACACACACACACACCCGCCACACACACCCTCCTCTTGCAACATCCAAAAATGTCATTGCCAAATATCCCCTGGGAGCCAGTCACCCCAGATGACAGCCACTGCATTGTGTAGTAATTATGGTTAAGTCGAATGCCTCTCATGGGCCAGGCCCTATGTCAGCCACTTGCATATACAGTAATTCCTCCCTGGATGCTCTTGATAGGTTCTGCAACTTTAAACAAAATGACATATAAGGAAATCCAGTTTATGAGACTAATTGACACAAGCAAGAGTTAAGTTGCAGCCCAGCCGGTGTGGCTCAGTGGTTGAGTGTGGACCTGTGAACCAGGAGGTCATGGTTCTGTTCTTAGAGCACATGCCTGGGTTGCAGGCTGAATCCCCAGTAGGGGGCATGCAGGAGGCATCTGATCAAGGATTCTCTGTCATCACTGACGTTCCTATCTCTCCCTTTCCCTTCCACTCTGAAATCAATAAAAATATTTTTTTAAATAAAATTTTAAAAATGTTTTTTAAAATAGTTAAGTTGCTAAGGAATCGTACCAAGGTTATAAAGAAATGTTGAACGAAACAATGCTGAAAGAAACATTATCCAGGACCTGCAGCAGCAACCATCCAAAGAGGGTGGTATGCCCGCTTCACAATGAGGAATCGCAGTCACCAGCTAGGGCCGAACCCAGCGCCGCAGCAACTCCAATGCCAAGCTTCCTGCCGCACCGCTCTGCTTCCCACGGGCGTCGGGAAGAACGACTGAGGTAGCTAGATTAGAAGGCAGCAAGCAGACCGGCCGGGAGGGCGCTCCAAAGCAGACCCAGTGTGCGGGGTGTGAGGGAGAGCAGCAGACCCACAGTGTGCGGGGTGTGAGGGAGAGCAGCGAGCAGACAGGCGGGAAAGGGCGCTCCAAAGCAGACCCACAGTGTGCGGGGTGTAAGGGAGAGCAGCAGACCCACAGTGTGCAGGGTGTAAGGGAGAGCAGCAGACCCACAGTGTGCGGGGTGTGAGGGAGAGCAGCGAGCAGACAGGCGGGGAAGGGCGCTCCAAAGCAGACCCACAGTGTGCGGAGTGTGAGGGAGAGCAGCGAGCAGACAGGCGGGGAAGGGCGCTCCAAAGCAGACCCACAGGGTGCGGAGTGTGAGGGAGAGCAGCAGACCCACAGTGTGCGGGGTGTGAGGGAGAGCAGCGAGCAGACAGGCGGCTCAGGAAAGGGCGCTCCAAAGCAGACCCACAGGGTGCGGAGTGTGAGGGAGAGCAGCAGACCCACAGTGTGCAGGGTGTGAGGGAGAGCAGCAGACCCACAGGGTGCGGAGTGTGAGGGAGAGCAGCAGACCCACAGGGTGCGGAGTGTGAGGGAGAGCAGCGAGCAGACAGGCGGGGAAGGGCGCTCCAAAGCAGACCCACAGGGTGCGGAGTGTGAGGGAGAGCAGGGCGTTTAACTCTGCAGTCACTTCACGTCTTCTGCGTTGCTCCCAGGCTGGTGTGGTGATTGCTCAGCACACACAGGCCAGTTGTTGTGCGCACCCTGGGAAGGGCTGTGTGGGGACCCCCCAGTCTGTGTCCTTACTGTCCTCTTGTTCACCTCGCCTTGCTTGCTGTCTGCTCCCAGCTATGCTCTTAGTAATTTTCAAGGGTGAGGGAAGGGAAAACATGAGGAAACTACACTGGTATTCAGAGCGGCTCTCACGGTATCATTTGCTGGAAGCCAAAGAGGAAACATTAGTACCTTTCCTACAATTAGGGCAGGAAAGGGCTGTTCGATCCCCTGGGTGGCGGAGGCTAGTTGAAGCATCAGGCCAAGAAATGAGGGGCAAGCAACAACTGCAGTTTTTAAAAAAAGAGCTGTTTTTACCAAAGAAAGAGGGTAACACTTCCATGAGAACCAAAGACCGTTTAGGGTCAGAACAGTCAGAATCTGGGAGTGGCTGCTAAGCCGGAAGGAGTCAGATGTCTTCTGGGACAAGGAGCCTGCCCTGCCTCCCCACGGCAGCCAGGCTGGGCCTCTGGACCACGTGGGAGTGTGAGAATCACCCTCCCGAGACAAGGGTCAAACATGGTAGGAGGCGCGGTGTTCAGCTCACAAGCCCTAGGAGAGGAAAAGCAGTTGGTTAGACTCAGAGCCTGGGGCAGCCGTCACTGCACTGCCCATCCCCGGGGCACATGCCCTGGGTCTTCCAAGCAGACGGCGAGACAGTTTCCCTCATCTGTGACTCAAGCATTAAATCCCATCTCCACCCCTGTCCCCACCCTCCCCTTCCCCAGGCATCAACCCGGTCATGCGTGATCCGTCACTCACCCAAGTAATCATCCATCAAAGAGCCGATGGCAAACTGCAGGAGGGAAGGCAAAAAGGAAATGAGGTCTAAGCCTGCACAGACCTATCCTCTAAGCCCAGCCCCAGACTTTCTGCCCACCCCCGCTCCGGGCAGAAGAGCTCAAACCCCAGGAAGCCTCGGTGGTAAGAGACCAATAGCTCCTGGCTCTGCCTGGCACGGGAAGGGAGGCGGGCAAGAGACTCACAATGTCGTTCTTATCCACACGGGTCCCCACGATCTTCAAGCGGATCTCATCGTCCTGCTGAATCACAATGTCCTGGGAGGAGGGAACAGAACACTCAGACATATCGCCCCCCCACCCCACCCCAGCCCCCCCCTCTCCCTCAGAGCGGCTCCTGCCCTCCGGTCTCTGACTTCTTCCCACTGACTCACCTCATCCATTGTCTTGTAACACGGTGGGTTGGAGTTAGGATCAAACTCCATCTCGGACGGGATGGACTGAAAGGAAAGGGAGACTGGCTGAGCGCTTTAAATGGAGGCTGCAGGAGATGGTCATGAATGGGTGTCTCCCCCCAGCCCCGCCCCGCATGCCCAGGCTCACATGTCGGGAGATGAAGCAGGACATGGGTCCGATTTCTGTGAAGAGTCCAACCTGGAAGGAAAATGAGTGCCCCTTGCTTTTTCTTTTGTGTCCAAGTCTTCTAAGCTCCTCATCTTCCTCTGAGTCCTCATAAATTCTCCATGTATTGAAACCACACCAAATTGTGATGTTTTCCTTTCTCTTTTTTCTAGCTTTCGTTTTAAGGTAAGCAAATATAGTACAGTAGTGAAGAGCTGAGGCCTGGGGCTTGTCTGTCCAGGATTTCATCACTTGTTGGCCACTAGACTTAGTTTCTCTAAACCTGAGCTTCTATAAAAAGGGGTAAGAGCACCCACCTGTCAGTCACTGTGAGGCGTCACACATTACCTGGCTCACAGTAACTACTCCATCAGTGGATGCTACTGTCATCGTGACCATTAACACGGACGTACACGCCCCTGAGACAGGACCCTTTGACAGGCGAGAAAACCGAAGCACAGAGGAGTGACGTGGGTGGCCAAGGACGCACAGTTAGCAAGTGGAGTTGGGACCCACCCTACATCTTCTGAGGGACCGTCCACTTCCTCCCCATGTGTGGTCTCACCTTGTTGACCTGAGTGACGACAGCATCCACGACTTCCCCTTTAAAGGGCCGGAAAACAATGGCCTTGTACTTAACTGGGTAAAGGACAAAGCCCCTGCCTGGCTGGATCACACCAGCCCCAATATTGTCGATGGTGGTGACAGCAATGACAAAGCCATACCTGCAAGGAGGATGACAAAGAGAAAGGCCCTGTGTGTGGAAGAGCCTCTAGCACCATCTGCAACAAGAATCAGAGACAGCACAAAGGGCAGCCCATGGCACCCCTGCCCCAGAGCTCAGTGGCCAAGGACAGGACGCTGATCGGTATCTGTAACGCCAAACACTGCTCTCATAATGTCACAAAAAGGGCCAAGCACGCTGCAGTCCTTGAGCCAAGAGACCCTCAGAGTCGCGGGGAGGAGCCTATTAAAATGCACATTTCCAGCCCCGTCTTGAGTCCTGAGTATGCCGTGATGGGATCCGGCTCAGGAATCTGCTGCTCAAAAAATGCCCCAGGTTATTTTAACAACGGAGGCCCAAGTACTCCACAGTGCTAGGCTCCTCCCAGCTCACGCACACATGTGCGAGTCCTCTCTCTGCAGAGCCCAGCGATGTGCCATGTCAGGTCCCTGGGCATGGGGGCAGGGAAAACCAGCAGAATCACAGACGGAGGGCAGACACGGGAACGGTGATTAGAGTGTGACTCCACCGGGGCTGGCCTCCCTCTAACTTTGAGGTCATTGTTCCCAGCGACCAACACGGGACCTGGCACACAGGAGAGCTGCAGAAATGTTGGCGGAGCGAATGCATGGCCAACCTCAGCTGAGGGGCAAAGCCTTGTGACCCAGCTTTGCAGAAGGCGCCCGGGGAACCCGAGGCAGGAAGCCACGGAGTGCCTGGGCGCCTAGGAGTGTGGGAGGGGGCTCCCCAGAGTCGGTGGCAGGACCTTGCAGAACGAGGAGCTGGGGGCGGGCTGCTAGCGGCGCGGACAGCGCGGCACTCACTTGCCGGTGCAGGTGCCCTCCACCTCGGTGAAGAGCTTCTGCTTCACCGTGTTGAGCAGGTTGGGGCCGAAGTAGCGCGGGTGCAGCAGGATCTCGTGCTCCAAGGAGATCTGCGGGGAAGGCGGGATGGAGACCAGGCCAGGCGCAGCGGGAAGACGGGCGAGAAGCGGCCGCGGGTCCCGGCGCCCCGCCCCGCCCCGCCCCGCCGCTCCTCTCGAGCCTGCCCGCGCCGCCGCCCGGTGCCCCGCTCACGTGGTAGAACATCCTCCTCCCGGAGTCAGGGACGCAGCCGCGTCCACACCTTCCCGGGCAGCGGCGCCGCCGGCACGACCGGAAATACACGCAGCCGCCCCAATACCGCTTCCGGGCCCCCGCGGACCCGATTGGACGTCGCTGTGGTGGGCGGGGAAACCCACTAGGCCCCGCCCCCTCCCGCCCACAAGCGCCCCAACCGGCGGCTCTCTTAAATTCGGTGCCCAGAATAGCAGCTCAATAAAGAATTCCTTTTGTTTTCTTTTCTTGAATAAAGAATTTTAAACGAAATTATTAATTAATTAATTATTTAATTCGTGAGAGATGGCGTGAATAAAACGCTTTGACAGAGCACATCCATTTAGCACTCCTGGTAGATGGTAGCAGAATTGAGTTAAATTGTAGGACTCCCAGTTGCTGGTGCCTGGCAATTGCTTGGATGTGGGGGGTTGGGGGGAGGGTAGAGGAGGAGCAGGGAACACATTGTAACTGGAGGCAGAATCATTCGTAATAAATAGTTAAAGCTCATCACCTCCTTTTTCCCAACAGGTTGCTTCCAGAACACGGGTGCGTCGTGAAAACCACCACTAAGTCAAACCCAAAACGAGAACGGCAGACTCGTACCAACATCGTCAATCTTGGACACACAGATTCCGGCAAGCCCACCCTGCTGGGCCCCTGACCTACAAATGTGGTCGGATTCCCAAGGGAACCATCGGAAATTTCGAGAAGGAGGCTGCTGAGATGGGAAGGGCTCCTTCAATATGCCTGGGTCTTGGAGAAACTGGAAGCTGAACGTGAGCGCGGTATCACCATTGATGCCTCCTGGTGGAAATTCGAGACCAGCAAGTATTAGGTGACCATCACTGATGCCCCAGGACACAGAGACTTCATCGTAAACATGGTTACAGGCACTCCTCAGGCTGACAGTGCTGTGCTGAGTGTTGCTGCAGCTGTTGGTGAATTTGAAGCTGGTAGTATCTCCAAGAATGGACAGGCCCGTGAGCATGCCCTCTGGCTTACGCACGGGGTGTGAAACAGCTGATTATTGGTGTTAACATGGATTCCACTGAGCCCTCTGCAGCCAGAAGAGATACAAAGGAGGGTATTGTTAAAGAAGTCAGCACTTAGCCCTGGGAGATGTGGCTCAGCTGATAGGACATCATCCCCTGCACCGAAGGGTTGCTGGTTGGATTCCCAGTCAGAGCACATGCCCGAGTTTCAGGCTCAATCCCCGGTGTGGGGCGTGCAGGAGGCATCTGATGGCTCTTTCATTCTCACATCGATGTTTCTCTCTCCCTGTCCCTTCCTCTCTCTCTCTCTAAAAATCAATACAAAATCTTTAAAAAAGGAAGTCAGCGCCAGCATTAAGAAAACTGGCTACAATCCTAACACAGTGGCTGTGGGTGAAACACATGTGGCCTCTTTGTGTGGCCTGGGCTTCCTCACAGCACTGTGGTGCGGCTCTAGGAGCAGTTATCCCAAGAGGACCAACCAGAAGCTGTATCCCCCTTAAAAAATTTTGTTATTGATTTCAAAGAGGAAGGAAGAGGGAGAGACATAGAAACATCAATGATATCAATGATGAGAGAGAATCGTTGATCAGCTGCCTCCTGCATGCCCCCTCCTGGGGATCAAGCCTGCAACCCTGGAATGTGCCCTGACTGGGAATCAAACTGTGACTTCCTGGCTCTTAGGGTGATGCTCAACCACTGAGCCACACTGGGTGGGTTGTATCTTCTTTTACAACCTAGTCCTAGCCTCTCAAATGTCACATCTCCCTGGAGGAGACAGTCCCGCCCAGACTCAGGTAAGAGACCTTTCCTGATGGGAGGAGCATCAATGTCATATTGTAGGATGAGTGTGTGGAAGGGAAGATCTTGTCAAGGCCATCTTGGAAAAGATAGTCTGCTGTAAGAATAGGATCTCTGCAGCCTAGACCAGTGATGGCGAACCTTCTGAGCTCGGCGTGTCAGCATTTTGAAAAATCCTAACTTAACTCTGGTTCCGTGTCACATAGAGAAATTTTTTTATATTTGCAACCATAGTAAAACAAAGATTTATATTTTTAATATTTATTTTATATATTTAAATGCCATTTAACAAAGAAAAATCAACCAAAAAAATGAGTTCGCATGTCACCTCTGACACGCGTGTCATAGGTTCACCATCACTGGCCTAGATAGTAGAGAAGCCCTAGTGATGATGTCTGCCACCACCTGTCTTCCAAAGATTCACAAGCAAGCAGCAGGTCCGGCCCCTGAGGAGCAGTCTTTGAGCAAGGATCACCCACCTCAGCTGCCCTTCTTCCTGCTTCCGGGCTCCTTCTTCTGTGCCACCATTTCTTCCAACAACTAGGATAATCCTGCCCCCAGCTGAGTCCAAATCCTCTGGCCTTGGGCACTACAACCATGTGGGAACACTCTACCAAGACAGATCTACAATAGCGATTAGGGGTGTGGCTATAAAGACCCACATTCAGTCTCAGCTCTGACTTGTATTCACTGAGTGACCATGGCCAAATTACTTAACCACTCTGACCCTCAGTCTCTTCTTCCGTCTAATAGAGACAAGAAAGGCTATTTTGGAATCAGGGACTATATTGTTAGCATATTGCTAGCATTTAACAAATGCTAAACAGTACATATTTTTCTAACTTCTACGAATGCACAGAAACATAGAAGCAAAGCTTTTTAATCTTTTTCCTTGGGGGAAAGTTACTACTATAAGTAAGAAATGTCTTTAGTTTTAGCTTTAAATTTCACATAGTTTTTCATGTGCTATAATCTGTCTATATTAGCTTAGTACCTCTATTCCCTAAATGAAAGCTTTTATAAAAAAATAAAAAATACAAACAACTAAATGGTGCTCTAGAAAGAGGTGTCCTGGTACCCTGTAGCTCTGTGTGCCCCACTTTGAGAAGCAAAGCCTCCAAGCTGTGCCCTGCTTTAATGGTGCTCCCGGGGGTGAGAGAAGCCTAAATCCAGGGCACACTTGGTTCATTAAGCTCTGGTGGCCACTGGTGTGCACTGACCAGAGGGAGCACCTTCAGGTTTGCACAGAGGTTGAAAGAACTGTAACTTTAAATATCTAGAGCCCGTATGCACGGTGATCCCAGTGTGCCAAGCCCACAGTCCTTTTGTGCAGACTCATCTTCATCTGGTCCTTTTTGCACCTATAGAAACATGGTTGCTTTAGCTTCCCAAGCAGCCTATGCCAGTGGTCGGCAAACTGCGGCTCGAGAGCCACATGCGGCTCTTTGGCCCCTTGAGTGTGGCCACGAAGTTTCAATCGCACTGTACGTACACGCCCGCACGTGGTATTTTGTGGAAGAGCCACACTCAAGGGGCCGCAGTTTGCCAATCACTGGTATGCTCCTTACTGCTTAGCAACTCCAGCTGCCCTCTGCCCCACAAGTTTTTCCTCCAGTCCCCAGCTTTTTTTCTTTTTCTTTTTTTTTAAAATATATTTTATTGATTTTTTACAGAGAAGAAGGGAGAGGGATAGAGAGCCAGAAACATCGATGAGAGAGATCGATCAGCTGCCTCCTGCACGCCCCCCAGTGGGGATGTGCCCGCAACCAAGGTACATGCCCTTGACCGGAATCGAACCTGGGACCCCTGAGTCCGCAGGCCGCCGCTCTATCCACTGAGCAAAACGGTTGGGCTAGTCCCCAGCTTTAAATACTATCTATATGCCCATGACACTCCCAATATGTATCTCCAGCCCCGATGTTTCACTGGATCTTCAGGCCCACAAGTCTAACTGGCTAAGGGGAATCTCTACATACGGGTCAAAAACAGAATTCTCAATTTTCCTCCCCATTACCCCCATCTCAGAAGATGGCTCTGTCAGCCACACCATTGCTCATGCTACAATTCTGGCCATCCTTGACTTCTTTTCTTCTCTTGTCCCTCATCTCTTATCTTTTTTTTTTTTTTTTAATGTATTTTATTGATTTTTTTTTACAGAGAGGAAGGGAGAGGGATAGAGAGTTAGAAACATCGATGGGAGAGAAACATCGATCAGCTGCCTCCTGCACACCCCCCCACCGGGGATGTGCCTGCAACCAAGGTACATGCCCTCGACCGGAACCGAACCTGGGACCCTTGAGTCTGCGGGCCGATACTCTATCCACTGAGCCAAACCGGTTAGGGCCCTCATCTCTTATCTTTTTAAAAAAAAATTGTTGACTTTAGAGAGTGTGAGAGATACAGAAACACTGATTTGTTGTTCCACTTATTGATGCATTCACTGGTTGATTCTTGTTTGTGCCCTAACAGGAGATCAAACCTGCAACCTTGCCCTAACTGGTTTGGCTCAGTGGATAGAGCGGAGGTGAAGGGGGGAGTAGCGTGGGTGAAGGGGGGAGTAGCGGGGGTGAATCGGGGAGTAGTGGGTTACAGGCACTCAATTAACCCTGTGGACATATTGCTCTGGTCGGTCAAGAGGCAGGTGTCACTAACTCCGGACGTACAGCCTTTCCTTTGTCTGGGGACGCCTCAAAGATGTCTTCACCAGCAGCCATGCCCTAACTCTCCTGTCCCGGGGGACTGCAGGGCCTCGAGCCCGGAGTTCAGGCCAGGACTGCGACAGCGCTCACGCCCGCGAGGCTGGTTCTCGGACTCCGCCATTACGGAGTCGGGAGCCCGAGCCGTCGGGGTGAGGGGGGCGAAGCAGCGGGGCACTGAGGGTGTAGGAACCTTCAGGACACAACTGAGGTTCAGAGGTGTGGCTGCTGCCCCCGGTCACGGCAGAGCGGGTCTCACACCCGGGCCTCCTGAGTTCCACTCCAGCTCGTTCGTCCTCCTCCTCGGGTCAGCCTGCAGCCGACGCAACACAATTCTCTACGCGGTGCAAGGCCCCCCCTCCCACTCCCGCCCCCACTCCGCGCCAGGTGGACGCGCTCCGCAACCTAGAGCGCGGTCCCCGCTTCAGGTAGATGGAGAAGCTCAGCCAATCCAGAGGGCTCTGAGGCAAAGAAGGCGGGACCAGGAAGAAAAGTTTAGGACAGCAACGCCAGCCAATCCGACGCCTCGTTGCCTGAGCGACGGCCACCAGCACCCACTTGGAAACGCCGCTCAAGAGTGGGCGGTGGCTAGTGCACAGTGAGCCAATCCGTGACAAG